TATAAAAAACATTAAAACAAATCCGTGCAACCGCACGGGTACCAAAAAAACCATTATATAGAATAAAACCCCAACCAATTGTACCCCGCATTTCCGGATTCTGTCCCTCAGATTTGTTGCTGTTCACTGGTTTTATTGTCTTTTAACCAACGTTTTCAAAAGCACCAATACCATTCCTAGTCTGTTCATCTATATTAAGATCAAATTTTAATGGTTTAAGTATCATTTTAGTCTCTCAACTTTTGATTTTGACACTAAAATTGTCCCTCAATTTTAAAAAATATTAAAATTATCCTCAAATTTTCTTTTTGAATACCAAAATGATCCTTCAGTGAGTTAAATGACAAGTGGCACTTTAAAATATTAGCAAATCAATTCTTTTTTTATCTTAACTAATGACATGAAAAAAAAAAAACATAGTTGGCATTTTTTTTATGAGTTGGCATTTTCATTTAATTTAAAAATAATAATTCTTTATTTTTTTTCACCCACGTCAGATTTCTTCTTCCCCTTTCATTTTCTCTGTCCTTTACCTTTCCTTTTCTCTTACCTCTACAAGCCCAGATCTGGGTTCTCTCTCAAACTTCATCTTCTTCCTCCTTTCCTCCTTACTTTCCCTGCTCATCTTTCTTTCTTCTTCTTATTCTCTTTCTCTCTCTCTCTCTTCTCCCTTCTTCTTCCTCTCTCAAACCCAGATCTGGGTTTTAGAAAAACTGCTCCCTTCTTCGGCTTTATGTGAAATTATTCGTTAATTTATGTCCAAAATCATTCAGTGTGGATTGTCTGAGGAAGAAGACGACCATCAGTAGAGGATTTCTTTTCACACGACGCATTATCAAGGATCTTTGCTAAATCTCTAACCAGATCTAGGAGCAGTTTTTCTAAACAACTAAATGAAATTAATTTCTCCATCAGATGAACAATTCAAAAAACATTAAGCTCGCAAGCAGCTCATAAAATCACCCACCAATAAATACCTAACACTAGTAGAACACAAACTTCACAAACACATATCCTTGAAAGCTTCCACAAACCGCAACCCACTTCCTAGAGACGCCAAAATATCCTTTAAAATCCACAAAGGATCGAACTTTTTTGGAGCAAAACCCCGATAAGACTATCTACTCCAAGATAAACAGCAGAAGGGAAAACACACTAAACCCCAAAAAAGCACTAATTTAAAGCGAACCTAGATCAGCATGGGTAGGAGAAAACTCTAATGAACAGAATGAAAAATCAAATCTTGCTACCTGCTTCAACGAAAGCTCTCAATATGCAACAATGGGGATAGAAAAGCAAAAATCAAGCTGTGAAATTACAAGAAACATTGAATTGAAATCAAATCGAAATTATGGCTGAGAATTCAAAATAATGAGTAAGAGATAAATTAGAGAAGGAGATAAATACAGAAGAAATCTGGGTTTGCAGAGGGGTCATTCTGGGTTCTCTCTCAAGCCATTCCTGCTTCTAACAAACGCAAACTCAGAGCCGACAGAATCGAACTCAAGGTGAAAGCTTAGAGCGATTTGACAATGGCGACAACCATCTCATCTCCATGGGGGAAGCCTAGCGCCTAGGCACTCGACACTGAAGAACATGAAGCCGAACTCCAACAGTTGAAGGACCAACCAAACCTCGCCCTTCCCACCAAGCAGCTCACGGATTTCCCCTCCCTCTCCGCTGCTGCTACCGCCACCAAGACTAAGAAGAAGAAGGGCTAGACTTGTTAAAATATCATTCCTTAATCTATTTTGCTTTTCTTTAGGAAGAAGAAGGACAATTTTGGATTTGATGACACAAGTCATAGCTGCGGACCTATCATCTTCTCGAGCTAATCTGGGTTTGAGAAAAACCCAGATCTGGGTTTGAAAGAAGAAGAAAAAGGCCGACGGCAGTAGTAGCAGATGGTTTGGCATGGGTTTGCAAAGGTATCAAGCGTGTCGGCACTGTGCTCGCTGTTGTTGAGGACGACGATCATCATTTGCTTCTCGGTCGTTTGAGAAAACCCAAGGCTTGGGTTTACAGAGGTAAGAGAAAAGGAAAGGTAAAGGAGAGAGAAAATGAAAGAGGAAGAAAAAATCTAATGCGGGTGAAAAAAAAAATTATCATTTTTAAATTAAATGAAAATATCAACTCATACAAAAAATGTTAACTATGTTTTTTTTTCCATGTCATTACTTAAGGAAAAAAAGAATTCATTTGCTGGCATTTTAATGTGGCCCATGTCATTTAATTAACAGAAAGATTATTTTAGCACCGAAAATGAAAGTTTAAGGATAATTTTTATACTTTTTTAAAGTTGAGGGATAATTTTGGTATCAAAATAAAAAGTTGAGGAAACTTAAACCAATTTTAATCCAGAAAAACGTGGGGAGTTAGTAATAACCAATCTAAAAGGCTTAACTTGGGTCACAGAATAAGGGGTTTAACCATTTGCGGCAAGCAGCTAACAAAAAAAAAAAAAAAGAAAAAGAAAAAACACTATATTCAGTGCAAATTCTCAAAGCGCACTGTTCTTACACTATTCATGTCGAGTTGCACGGCCAGCCGCGTTTTTAGTGAGACAAGAAACAGCAAGCTTAAAGGAAAGGGCAAAGAGGGGAAAGGGGAAAGGAGGATCATAGGGAGAAGAGAAAGATGAGGCCGGTTGAGAGGGTGGCATGGAAGAAGAGATGATGGAGGCAGGGAGAGGAGGTTGATGATCGAGGATTCGAGGGAGGTCTTCTCCCTCATCTTCTCCCACTGCCATTTGGGGTGACGATTTTCATTGCAAATCTTATTGTGCTGCAATTGCGAGTCCCATTTCTCAGATGCGATCCAATCCCACTCGCCACAAAAACCACGGCGCGAGACGCCGTGGCGAGTGGGATTGGATCCAATCCGGCCACGAGTGGCGAGTGGAGGACCAAAGGTCCAAGAACGAGGAATTGGATTAAAGACTAAAGGGCAAAATAGGGCAGGGAAAAAATCGTGAGTGGAAGCAGCTACGATGACGAGATGACCTGAGACTGAAATTGATTGGATAGAGAAGTTCCTGCACAAGAAAGGGGAGACGGAGGAGAAGGTGGAGAGGGTAATATGTGC